ATTATTTTGACCAGGAGAGCTATTAATCAGACAATTAGAAGTATCTTATTGTACATTAAAGTTTCTCAGAATTTGTCATGGGGCAAAAGGATACGCTAGATTGAGTAGAGATAATAGGAAATTTATTATAAGGCCTTTGTGATGTTTAATTTAGCTATCTATCTTTTTCTGTCTAAAATGTTTCTCTGTGTACTATAAACTCTGACTCTTTAGTAACTGTTTATTTTGTAATAACTAGCCAGCTTTTGTTATTTTTTTGCCTGTCTAGTTGATATATATTCTTATTCAAGGTAAAGGTGGGGCTATTACTCTAACAACTATTAGAAATATAGGGACTTTATTCTCTGGTCAAGAAACTATTTTGTACAACATGTTTTCCCTTATGATTAATAATTATATTACCCTGGCTGTTGTACTCTCCTGTATAAGGGAGAGGGGAATCTATGGAGATTTTTCCATCCTTTCAGGCAGTTCCATGGGGAATACTAATGTTTTCCTCTGAACTGTGCCTTCTTCTTGGGTGATTTTCACAGGAATAAATAAGTACGGTACAAAGTCTATGTGCAGTAGCAAGAGTAAAATAATTAAAAGAAAACAGCCAATTGTTAACCCATTTTGGATGCCACGTTCTCTTCTGGGCGTTTTAGATATGTCTAAAATTGACTGGGGGGGGGCGGTAAACATGCCCTTCTGGTTGACCTGTGTACTTGTCTGTGCCCTTCCTTATTTCCTCTTTTGTTAGGGGTTCTAATTCTTTTATTTCTTTTTAATATTTGTTCTCTCTTCTCGGGCCAGTATGTAAGGTACCGTGGCCCAGAGAAATATCTTATGAGGCTTTTTCTAACTTTTCTATTAATTCCCTAATATTCATATTTTGCTTCCTGATTTCTTCTGGTGTGTTACTATGGTTACTTTCTTTGTTCCAAGAACTCTCTAAATCATCTGGAGTCACATCACTCAATGTACTATTACTTTGTTCAGTGAACAGGGAAAAATCTGCTTGTACTATTTGGATCACAGCAATGGTATTCAAAATAATCAGGGCTGAAGAGGTCAAAATTCCCAAAGCAAGAACAATCACAGTGGGTAAAGCAGGGCCCTCCATGCCACGTCCACCAGGTTGGAAAATGCTTCTTTGAAGTCTTGGACCTCCCCTCCTGACTTTGTCAAGGAAGGGATCCAACTGTGGACGTGGCAATTTACCTCTCACATAACTGGGGCAGCACTGACGGCGGCAGGTCAGGGAGAGACAGACCGCCCCCTCCTGTGTCTGCAAGTTACAGTCCACTTCGAAACAATGCACGTTCCTTCTGGCCAGCAGCCCTCTGACCAGCCCTCAGTTATGGGAGGGGGAAGGGCCTTGTATTGACCCCTCAAAGGCCAATAATCAACATCAACCAGAATTTGGGATAAGGAAAGGTTTATTGATCAAGAAGATGCCAGCTTGAGAAGATGGGGGACCTTAAAGCTCCTGCAAATCCATCTTAAGACAGTCCAGAATTCAGGCTTTTTTTATATTAAGAGAAGGGAGAAGAGGCAAGAGGTATGTGATGTCAGGGCTCCTCCCATGGCGGCCTGAGAAGAACACAGACATCTCTGAATCTCTCCCAGGACGGAGCCCTGGGTCTCCGTCGACTCCTCCTGATCTGATTTGGTCTTGAGGCTCCTGCAAATCTTTGCCAAAAGCTCAAGAGGAACAGAATTCCTCTAAGAGTCAGCCTGTCTGTAGCAGGAACTAGTTACCCAAGACCATGGAAGACATGCAGGCTAGAAATAAGATAGAGTCAGCACATTTCATCGAGTCAGGGAGGCCCTGCGCATCAGGCTAAACCTCCCTGCAGATTAAATAACCCCACCGACACGAGAGTCGTTAGCTGGCCCTGAGCCTGTCTGCCTCGGGGTGGGGAGTACCTGTGAAGGAAGGAGTGGAGGAAGGAGACTGGACTGTATGTGGCCTTTGTCTTGAAGCTTCTATCTCTCTCTTGCTGGGGAGGTTTTCAGTAAAATACTCATCAGTTCTCCAGGTGCGCCCTTTTAGGGTCGTGGCTTCTGCTGATTGATCAGTGACAGGGCAAAGGTCTTCAGTGATCGTAATTGGTTCTGGCATTGCCCACCTGGTTTTGCTGCTTTCCAGGGAGGAAAGGTTATGCTGGGAGGTCCTTGTTTTTTTAAACTGATTTTACGTATTTATTTTTAGAGAGAGGGGAAGAAAGGGAGAAAGAGAAGAAAGAGAAGGACAGAAACATCAATGTGTGAGAGAAACATTGATCGGTTGCCTCCCACACGTGCTCAGCCCCCAATCAGGGACCTGGCCTGCAACCCAGGCGTGTGCCCTGACCGGGAATCAAACTAGCAATCTTTTGCTTTGCAGACTGTGCCCAACCAACTGGATTATGCTGGTCAAGGCAGGGGTGAGCTCTTTAGTTTCCCAGTTTTGTCCACTGCTAGGCCCTCAGGGCCTTCGGCCCTGGTGACCATCTGCATCTGCCTGAAAATTGCTTGGCCATGTGTGCGGCTCTCTGCCTCAGTTTCCCCATTCTACTTGCCAAGGAATTTTCCTAGCTTCTTACTGCCCGGTCCTACACTGAGAGACTTAAACCCCCTGAGCACCAAGCAGGTACTGCCAGAAGGGTGTGTGGTAACATGACTCATTTCCTCTGCATCCTGTAGCTCAGAGAGAAGCCACTCCCCACATATCTTGGGGCTGCGCTGCCCACACCTGTATATTTGTCTGGCTTTTTGCCAGAAGCTAGTTGCTATGTCAGTAACCTCGGTGGGAGCATATTCTATCACGCCCACTTCCTGAATCGGGGGGATGGGGCTGTTGTTGCTGGTGAGGGGAGCAGAGTTCAGCACCCCAAAATATGCCTTTGGAGATACGGACTATTCCAGGGGGGCTATTTTCAAGAAACAAAAGACTCAGGAAGAAGCTTTGTCCTTTTCCCTAACTGCCCGAAGGGAATTTAGAAGAGGCCCTGCTCTATCTAGGCAGGATGAGCCATCACGGGGCACTATGGTTCCACTTGAACTAGGCGGTGGACAGAGAGGGGCCTGGCAAGGCCTCTCATGGAAGCCCTTTGTTGAAGGCAGCTCACCACGTGTTCACTTGCCACACGCTTGCTTTCCCACATCGGCATGAACTGCCTTCCTCTCCTTTGAAGTCCCAAACCACAACCCCCTTCTCCTTCACTCCAGGTGGCACCTAAGCCTCAGATGCTCAATCTCTCCTAAGTTCTCATATTCCTTTTTTTTTTTACTGTTTTTATTTATTTTTAATTTGTTTTGTTTTTAGAGAGAGGGAAAGGGAGAGAGAGGGAGAGAAGCACCAATTGGTTGCCTCTTATACACCCCCAAACTGGGATCCAGCCTGAAACCCAGGCGTGTGCCCTGACTGGGAATCGAATGGCCACCTTTCAGTTCTCAGGCAGGTGTTCAACTCCCTGAGCCACACCAGCCAGGGCTATGCATTTATTTTTAGAGAGAGGGGAAGGGATGGAGAGGGAGGGAGAGAAACATCCACGTGCCAGAGAAACATCAATAGGCTGAGTCTCACACACCCACAGCGGGGACCTGGCCCCCAACCCACACATGTGCCCTGACGGGGAATTGAACCTGTGCCCTTTCTGTCTGCAGTACACATCCATCCCACTGAGCTACACCAGTCCTATTCTTATGGCACAATATAAATAAGTCATAAAGTTGTCATACATAACAAAGTTGGTTGTTTTCTCCTGTTAACTTCTCTCAGGTTAATTTGATTATTAGTATAGCCAGAAGAATTTAGAAAGGTGAAAAGAAAATACATTTTTACACTCCCACACTGTGCTTTTGCTTTTCTCGGTGTTAAGGAGTCCAGTGGCCTGGGCACATCCTCTGCTTGTTCGTCAATGGGCACGACAGCGGCACGACACCGTCTTCCCCACTCTCATCGTTTTCCCAGGCGGGACACCTCGGAGCCTCCCTGTCAGGCTTTGTCACAAGTCCGTGGGCCTCGACCTAAGTGAAGCCCAGAAGGATGGTGGCATAACTGTTCCCGAGGGGAAACCGCAAACCTTCTGTTTGCAGGGCTGGGACTAGAGTGAGGTGAGCAAGGCACTCACCTGGGTGGCAGAGTTTAGGTGGGGGAGCAGGCGAATGTTCTGTTGTCATCCCCATCCTGCAGCTATGGAAACTGAGGCTGAGGGGAAGCGGCTTGTCCAGAGTCCCATGCGAAGGACGCGCTGTTCACACACAGCCTCAGCACCTCACCCACAGCTGTGGTCCCAAGCTGACCCTCAAGTTTGAAGGAGAGCAGAGTGCGGCCCAAATAAGTCCACTTCACCCAGGGTTGTGTCTCTGCACTGGGGGTCCTGGGCTGGGAGGCAGGCTCCTGCTCATGGGAAACACAAGCTCCCCCAGGGCCGGTTCAGTAAGACCGTTCCTCATTCCTTGTCATCTGGCTGTTGACTGGCTTTAAGCAGACTGGGTAGAGAAACGTCCCTCCTCTGACACCTCCATGGCAGGGATACTAACTCAACCCTACTGGGTCACTATGGAAACCCCTGCACACAAAACCCAGCCTCTTGGGTCACACCCTGGTCCTGCCTACCCCCAGTCCACCACTCATCCCTCAGCCTCAGTTTCCCCAGCTAGGGACTGGACACGACAGCCTGTGTGCCTCCTCAGGCCCCAGCACACGGGAACACGAGGCTGGCCTGCCCTCGGCATCCAGCAACTGCAGTTGTGGCCCTTGGGAGCACAGGAGAAGCGCGGGGACTTGCGATGAGGTCTCCCGGGCAGCGCCCCTTGCACAGCAGCTCATGCACTAGCACTCGGCCAAGAAGGGCCAAGGCCAGAATTTGGCACTAACATCGTACCCCTCTTTCCTGGAAACCAAAACTGAAAGCTAAACTGTTCTTTCAGATGATTCATTCAAAAACCTCTAGGTCAGGGGATTGTTTTAGGACTTTTCATTGGTCAAAATGGCTCCTATGCTAATAAGGAGGCAGATCCTCTTAGAAAGTTTCAGCTTCCTTCCAACTCCCACCTACAACCCACACTCCCTACAACCCAGAGCCAATCTCTATGACATCCACTTTTTACCACTATACCTCTTTGCCCTCGGATGAAAACTCAAGGGAGCAAATGCAGGGGCACTACAACATACCACTGTGGCTGAGTATCCTGCTGGCCCTGCTTGGGACAGGTCTGGTAGTGGCCATGGCATTGGCCATAATCTTCTATAATCAGGCTCACAGCCTGGCTTGCATGGATGGTTTCAAAATGGAGCAGGAGTGTCAAAATGTCACCAACTCCCTGAAGAGCAAGCTGGCCCAGACCCAGGAAATCTTACTGAAGACTGAGGCCCAGGCTGCCACTTACAACCAGACTGCGGTAAGCAACCGCCACGTCTAAAGAGGGCCCTGTGCTTGGGGGATCTGCCCACGGTCTAGGTGGAGAGCCAGACAGACCTTGAAACTGCCCCAGGGCCCCTATATAAGGACCTGAATTTCCCCACCAGAGTTTGGGGATTTCTAAACTCTCTTTGGGGTGCCAGTATGGACTGGGGCTTTAAATTCCCCAGAGCATCCAAATAAGGGACCTCGGTATCCTAACTAGGATGTGGGTGAATCTCCAGACTCCAGGGCATTGGTCTGGAGGAGCTAGAAGCTCCCCTTGGGCAGAGTCTTGGGGGAGTAGAAATCCCCTCTGGGGGTCAGGATGGGAAGTCACCAGACCCTGAAGAAGGCAGGGGTCCTTGATGCTTCTGCTGCATCCCAAAGAGGCTGAAACGTCCACTTGGGTCTTGATATGAGGGGCCTGGAAACTCCCACTGGGCATCTTGCTTGGATTCAGGAACCCTGTGTTCTGGGTTTAAATAGACCTCTAAATCTTGTTGGGCAATGGCCCAGGATCTGGAAACTTCTTCTAGGGTTTGAGCCTGGGGAGCCCCCAAATTCCTATGGGGGGGCTAAAAACTCCTGTTGCGAGGATTGCACCCTTAGCACTGTCCGTGGGAGGGTGGGAGGTTGTGGCCAATCTTCGAAGAGGGAGACAGGTACAGGGAAGGTTGGAGGGGACCTTGAAAGGTATTTGGACCTGAGCCCCTCTGACCCCAGGGCCTGGGGAGGGGTTCAGGTCCCAGAGACAGCAGCCCATCCCACCAGGGACAGAACCCCAGAGTCTGACACCGCCACCCTTCCGCCACATTCCAGGTGACCCTGATGGCTTCCCTGAAGGTGGAACAGGCTCAGGGCCAAATGCTACAGAAGCAAGTGCAAGAGCTTCAAAGTGAGAAAAATACAAGGCCTGGGTTTTACTAGCAGGGCTTGAAGGAGCAGGGCAGGTATTGAAGAGGAGGGAGAGGGAAGGTCCCAGGGTTGGGGTCAGGAGAGAGGGATGGGACCAGAAGCCAGTGGAGGTGGGCAGGGGACGGGCCAGGTTTCCAAGGTGCATTCAGGTGAGGGTGGGGCTTGAAGTGGGGTCCTGTCCCAAGTTGGAGCCAGTCGAGGCATGTGGCCACCATGCAGACATACCCTCTGTTCCCTACTAGAGGAGATTAAGACATTGAAGCAGAATCTGCAGGACACGACCCAGAAGCTGCAGGACACAACCCAGAAGCTGAATCAACTAAGGTGCGGACGCTCCACAGCCATGCCCCCCTTAACCTTCTAGTCCCACTCCAAGACCCAAGATCTTCTTGACTCCAGAAATTCCCATTGCTCTGGGGACAAAGTTTGAATTCCAGCCTTGTCCCTAAATTATCCAGCCATGAGTGGTAGCTGCCCACTCTCCTCCCTAGGGACCCAGTGGGAAAGAGGGCAGATTCTGAGGGGCAATGAGCCCAGCACTGGTGCAGCCAGCCCCGGCGCCTGCCTGAATTGCCCCCATCTCCACCTCAGAAAAGATCATGAAAGTTCCGGCCCTGGCAAAGGCCCTACCGACTCTGGGAACACCCTCAGCCTCTCTATGATCTCTATGCTCCTGACCCTGAGCCTCCTGGATCTGCTGGCCTGAGGTCCCAGGAAGCTGGCAGGTGAGGAGGGGGAGCTGGAAGGGGTGGGAGAGAGTCACAGAGTCAGGGACTGGGGAGGTGGCCTGCCTGCAGGGTAGAGGGCTGGGCACAGAGGAGAAGGGTCTTTTGGAGGGACTCAGGAACCTCAGTGAGGAGAGAGGGCTCCAGGAGGGAACGAAGCTTATGGAGGGGCCAGGGCCCGTGTTCTGTCCTGAGTCCCCCTTATTACATCTCTTAGGTCACAACCTGGACTGGTTCCGGCTCTTCTTCCCTGACCTGGCCAGTTTTGAGGGGCCACACGACAGCACGGTTGGGGGGCAGGGGACAGTTTGGAGGGAGTGGAGGAGGGTTCAGGTGGCAGGGGATGGTTCATGGGGCAGCCTTGGGGGTGGAGAAGCATCCGAGTTGGCAGGTCATGGAGTGGGGGGCATCTGCTTTTTGTTGTTAATTGTTCTGGAAGGTCACTTTGTTCTGGGGTCTTTGGGTACCAAAAAGTAAACATTCCTTTTTGGGGGAGCGGACCTTACTCTGGAGTTCCTGGTGTGTCACTATCACTCTCAAGCATCTGCGAACTGTTGATGTCTACCTATACCCAGCCTTCCTTGTTCCACAATGTTCCCAGAAACCCACGGGGTTTGGGCAGGTACCGCTCCACTGCCTACCCAGCCCTGTTCTCCACTGGGATCATCTTAAAGGACCATACACCCCCATCAGTGCCCACTGAATGCTCAGCACTCCACTGTCATCTCCACATCAGTCTCCCGATGCTCATGGTGCCAATGAGGAAACACAGGCTATGACTAGAGGGTCACCTTGTCCAGTTCCCAATCCGCCCCCAGCAGAAAGTGCAGGGCTGGGATTCAAACCTGGACCTGCAGACACGCCCACACCAACTATTTGTCACAAAGTACCTTCCTTCTCCATACTCCCAACTTTTTCCCCTCCAAACTCCTATTCAGCCTGTAGAATCCCGCCTCCAGAATCTCTCTGCTTCTCTGAAATGGAAGGCCATGGTCCTGATGACCCTTCACCCACTCTCTGGGGCCCACGTCCCATTCTTCATTCCTCCAAGTTTTCCTGGAATTCCAACTATTGTCCAGGCAATTTCCTGTCATTTGCACTGAGGCCAGGGCCCTTGTGTCTGCCCAGAATGTCACACTGCCCTTAGGTCCTGCAGTCTCCAGACCAGTGGTCAGCAGACTCCCCATCTGTGGCTCCTGCTGGCTCCCCAGGGACCCCCGAGGCACCATCTCTGTCCCCTGACCCTCTTGTTCCCTGCTTCCCCTTAGTCACCACTCTCCAGCCTCCCGACCATTTCTCTCTGCATGGACCTTGTCAGTTTCTTTCCTGTCCCACTGTGACACTTGAGGGCAGGCAGACTGGCACTATCCACATTTGGGCTGGAATGTTCTCCGTGGTGGGGGCTGCGTTGGACGGGTAGGATGTCATGCAGTATGCCTGGCCTCCATCAGGTGCCGTAGCCTCCCACACCTGGGCTGTATTTCACTGATGAAGGGGGTTAGGTTTGCCAAGTAAGATGGATTCGACCTACTCAATTCTCCCCCTAAGCCCCCACACAATGGCCCAATTATAAACTTCTCTCCTTCCTAAAAATACCTCACTTCCCTTGCCGGCTGTGGCCCAGCCAGCCAGGGGTTGAGAAGTCAGGACTCAGGTCCTGCGGGTCTATAGGGATTTCAATCCAGCAGGAATCTGCCAGTGAGCAGCAGCTGCTGTGTGTCCCTGGCCTGAGACTTGGACTTTCTGGGCTCTGATTTTTCCATGTGGAATTTCTTCATGTGGGATGGGGTAGTGGTGTGAGGGGGTAGGGACACTGAGTTTCTAGTTCATGTTTACTCAGATCACATTTCCTACACAAATAACTGTGCCAGGACCAGGCTGGGTGGTGGGAACCAGGCAGACGTGGCTTTGCTTTTTAGGGGAGTTACCCAGTCTGATCTGGGAGGCAGCTGGGAATCAGTTAAACATTACGTAAAATTACAGCAGAGCTTTGAGAGCTCATCAAAAGGGGCCTGAGGAGGTGGGGGTGGGGAGGATTCTGAAGAAGACCCTAATAAATGAATAGGGGTAGTTGGTCACAAAGAAAGATGGGGGCACCCTGGCAGAGGGAACAGCCAATGCAAAGGCCCTGGGGTGGGAAGGCGCTTGCCAGAGAGCAGGGAGGAGGGCTGGAGGGTGCCTTGGGGGAAGGAAAGGATGTCAAAGACGTGATAGAGGCCTTGCAGGGGAAGGAGAAAGAGGAAGGGGATGGGAGTGATGGATTAGGAAGGAGAGAGGGTAGAGGGTGAGACAAACTGGGGAAGAGAAGAAAGAGGGTGAAGTAGGGAGGAGGAGGAAAAGGAGATAGAAATGGAAGGAGTCCAGGAGGAGGTGAAGCTAGTGACAGCGAAGGGGGGGGAGGAAGTTTAATTCTTCGAGGCTGTCGCCTGAATATAATTCACGTTGTAAGATCGCCCCCTGGCGACCCACTGGAGAACAAGCAGGGAGATGGGGCCGGTCCACCCTTGGGTCTAAGGTCTGGTGGCGTCAGAGTTGGTCACAGAAAGTGTGACAGCCTGACCCAGACCTTTAGTCTTCCAGTCACAGTTTCTCCATGAACAGAACTAGGGGACAATATGCTCCTAGTCCCTCGCCAGGCGCCCCCTATGCTGATGGTGCTTTGCCTGGATGTGCTGATGTGATTGTCACTAAGCCCTAAGGACCTACTGCCATCTCCACTTCACAGAGGGCAAACTGAGGCTCAGAGGATAGCATGCAGAAGGCAGAAGCAGCCCTGGCTGGTGTAGCTCAGTGGATTGAGCGCAGGCCTGCGAATCAGATGATCGCGGTTTGATTCCAGTCAGGGCACATGCCTGGGTTGCAGGCCAGTTCCCAGCAGGGGACGCATGAGAGGCAACCATACATTGATATTTCTCTCCTTCCTTTCCCCTCTAAAGATAAATAAACAAACAAACAAACAAATAAATAAATAAATGCCAAGATTTAAAAAAAAAGAAGGCAGAGGCAGAACCGGAACTCAGAACCCCAGTCCTGTCCTAGGCTCCAGTGGCCTGGTTTGGCCATGGTGGAGACCCAGCTCCTCCCAAAGGACTTGGAACACACGCCCTGGCTGGGCGGAACTTCGGGTGTCCCTGGTGTTCCAAGGTGCCAATTAAATGCTCGTGGCTGTCTGGGCTGGAGCTGTGGACGGCAGCATGGCCGAGCCAGGGCCAGAGCCAGGACATGCTTGGCGGCTGCTCGCCCTGTGTGGGGCTGCTGTGTTCCTGGCAGCAGCTTCTGCTGGGGCAGCCCTACTGGCTTGGAATCTGGCTGCTGCAGCCTCCAGGGGGTCTCGCTGCCCAGAGCTGGAGCCAGAGGTCAATGCCACGGTGTCCCCCAGGGACCCAGTGCCAGAAGTCCAGGAGCTTCAGCGAAAGCTGGCGGAGGCTGCCCAACGAGAGAAGGCTCTGGCCAGGCAGCTGGACCAGGCTGAAGGTATCCATCGGGAGCTGGAGGAGGCTTTAAGGGCCTGTGAGGGCCACCAGGTAAGTAGGCAGTGTTGTGGGCTGGGGCATCTAGAATTTGAGGACAGAGAGCCTGCACACACCCCCAGGGATGCCCCCCAGTACCTGGGTTTCCCCAATTCTTCAGTTTGGATGAGGATAATACCATAATCCCAACTCCTACGATGCCGGTTCACCCTTGAGTTCATCTTCTGATCTAGAAGGCCCTACTGTTCTCTGCTATTTGCCAGATAAACTGTAGTGGCTAGAGAAGCCCCAGACCCCTGAACCCACCTGATGAGGCCCTGTTTTATCCTTTCCCCCAGGTGCCCACTCAACTCTCCCCACTGCCCAGCCAGTGTCCCAGCCCTATTTCTGGAAAAGGACATTCATGTCACCTGTAATTAGGAGGCTAAACTTGGCTACTTGGAGGAGGTACCAGCCAGGTCCTCCCTTTTCCTCTGGCCACCTCCTTCAAATACTTTCGTAACCCTTCCCACTCCTCAGCCTCACAGAAGAACCATCTTCAAAGTCCCAACCACTCACATTTATTAACTACTGTGCACTTCTGTGTGTATTTTAGAAATCAAAACAGACCTCTTACCCTCTTCCTGCCTGTCTAAGGAAAGGGCCTGGGACAACTGAAATTAAAAGCAGCCTGCCCTCGGTTCAGATTCTGATTTTGCCTCCCAATGGAAGATGCTCTGAGGTCAGACTAGCTGCTTTACAGAATGTCTCAGAGGTGATGGACAATCCACATATCCAATGGGATATGTGGATCCAACACCAAATGGGCTTGTGTTGGTTTGAAACTCGAGTTGGTGAGTCTAGATGTAGCTGGGATTGGAACCCCAGTCTGGCTGCAGAGCTAAACCCTTTCTGCATCACCGTGTCTTGGGGTTGGGGGGCGGTGGACCTAGACAGACACCTCTTTCCAGGCAGGCAGTAGTCAACATGCCATGCCCGACTTCAGTGGCCATTTCTATGTTTTACAACTACAGGACCCCAAAGGACATTCCAACAAAGCTCAGGAAACACCAGTGTTATCTCAGTGTCCCCTAGAAAGGGCGGGGCAAATTCAGTCCTGCCCTCCCAGCTGCCCTCTCCCTCCCCTCCACTCCGCAGAGCCAGCTTCAGACCCAGCTGATGATACTGAAGATTGAGATGGATGAGGCCAAGGCACAGGGGACTCAGATGGGGGCCGAGAACGGGGCACTGACAGGTGTGTTGGGGAGCAAGGGTGCTGCTGGCCAGGGCTAGAGGTGGGAGGAGCCTAGAAAGTTCCTAGCTACGCAAAAGTAATGCAAACGACATGCAAATGAATGTGAAAACGTATGAAAGAAATGCACATACATGCAAAGGTCACAAAAACGCAAATGCAACAAAATAGGCAAACTCCACATAAACGACTTCCAAAAGCAGTGCAAACCTACGAAATGCTATGCAAATGATACGTAAGGGCCATGTAAACGGCACACAAATTTAATTCAAATAAGGCACAGCACGGAAGTAGTAGGCAGACTATAAACTCCGACGCCGGCACGCACGGGATTGGGAGCCTGGTCTCCAGCCTCACCGAGCCCGTTGCGCCCGCAGAAGCCCTGGCGCGATGGGAGGCTGTGGCCACTGAGTCAACCCGGCTGCTGGAAGAGGAACAGCGGCGCGCACGCGCAGCCGAGGCCGAGGGCGGAGCCTGCGCTGCCCGGGAGGCGGTGCTGCACGAGCGCGTGTGAGTGCGGGGAGGAGCAGGGGCGGGGCCTTGGGGAGAGGACGAGGGAGGATCTAAGTGAGTTAGCACCTAAGGGTGGTGAATCGGGTGGGCACTCTAGAAGAGGGAGTCCCCAGGCTGGGGCCGGCACTGTGCAGGCATGGGTTCTTAGGTTCAGGCACATTTTGGGGGCCCTGGGAGAGTGGTGGAAGGGTGCAAGGACACAGAAATATCGCGGGAGGGGGCCGGGTAACTGGAGGAGAGCTTCCGGACAAAAGGTAGAAGGCCTTGGGGAAGGACCCCCGAAATGGCCAGGGATGAAGAAAGGACTGGGATCCTGGGGATGGGGTTCCCAGAAAAAGAGGAAGAGTGCTGGGAGGTATCGGGGGTGGGGGGTCGAGGGTCTGGGACCTGACCGGCCCCTCCTCCTTCCCGGCAGTAAAGCTCTGGAAGCCGAGATGGACCAGCGCAGAGTGCCGCACACCCGGGCCCGCTCTGGGTCCCGACCCCGGCCCAGCGCCCGCTCTCGCTCTCGCTCTCGCCCCAGACCCTCTGGGGGCTGCCGTCGCACCCGAGGGTGAGTCAGCTTCCCGCAGGCTGTGGGCTCCAGGGCAAGACAGACACTGTACGGCCCCGAGTGCACATGTATAGAGATGCTCACGCTGGATGAGGTGCCCAGTCGATATCCATCAACGCTCAGCTTTAGACCAGCTGCTGTGAACAGAGACGAGAAGGAGACTCGACGCTCTCTCCCCAACCATCTTGTGCTTGCATTCTACAAACAAGAAAGAGGCCCATTTAGTCACCCAGTGAGATCATGCTGATGTGGGACTTTAAGTCCCCTCGAAGGATAGCGTTGCCCTCATCCCACAAACATGGGGATTTAGGGTCCAGCCTTGGCTTGGGAGTGACCTGAAGAGGTCAGTTCTTGGGCCTCAGTTTTGTAAAATGAGTGATTGGAATCGCGTTTAGAGAGCTGGCTTCTCTTTGACACCAAAAACTGACAAAAGAGCACAGTAAGAAAACGACAGACCACTCTTCTTCTAAGAATGGTACGAAACTCCCACATGGAATTTTAGCAAAGAGAACTGAGTAAAATATGCCACACACACACAAAAAGGTGGTTTATGCCTGAGATGCAGGGACGGTTCAGTATTCAGAAGTTTGTTAATAAAATTCACCATAGTAATGGATTAAATGAGAAAAAAGTTCTGGAAAAAAAGCCATTAAATTCAGGGACAAGGTAAGGAGAACCACTATCAAGTATTTACTATGGTTTTGGGGGTGCTAGCCAATGCATTTAGACAAGAAAAAGAAACAAGACAATTATTATAAAAGAGGAAGGTAATTTATAGCTTGATAAGAGAGCACTGTTTATACAGATTTTAAAAAAAATTGAAATAACAATTTCATGTGGCACAACTTCATGTCATTTTTGTTTTATATTTATATTTCACATAACTTCAGACTTACGGAAAAATTGGAAGATGAGTACAAAGAACTCCTGTGCACCCCTCACCCAGATTCCACAGATATTAACTTTTACCACCTTTGCACGAGCTCTTGCTTGCGTTCTCTCTCTCCCCATCTCTACTTTTATTAAAAAGTTGCAGAAATGATGTCTCTTTGCCCATAAATACTTAAGTTTATCTTTCCTAAAAACAAGGACATTCTCTCACATAATCATGGTACACTATAGAAATTAGGAAATGCACATTGAGAAAGTGCTGTTATCTAGTCTGCAGACCTTCAACAGATTTTGCCATCTGTTCTGGTAATGTCCTTTATAACAAAAGATTCTTTTGGCTCACACACTGTATTTGCCACATCTCTCTCATCTCCTTTCATTGGGAATGCCCCTCAGTTTGTCTTTGCCTTTCATAATACTAAAATTTTTAAAGGCCCAGGATAGTCATTTCATGGAGTCCAAGTTTGGGTTTGGGTGGCATTTCCTTATAATTTCACATTGGCATTTTTGGCAGGAAAACATCAGAAACAATTTAACCTAACAATATTACTTCTGGTGGTATGATTATATAGAGAAAACTAAAAGAACATACTGAAACTTTTCTATATTTAAACAACTAGTTAGAAAATCCTTTGAAAGAAGAAAAGATTCATTTCAGATAGTTTTTTATACCCAGGAATAAACTAATTTCCATATTATGTAAGGTGCTCTTATAAATTTTTTTTAAAAAAACAACTCATAGGAAAGTGGACAAAGTTCACAGAAACATACAAAAAAAAAAAGATGCCAAATTTCACTCCTAGAAAAGAAATGTAAATTGAAGTAAAAATGTGCTACACTTTCCACCAGTTAGTTTGACGAAAATAAAAACAAACAAATTAAAACTTTGCAGATGCACTGTGTTGGCACTGCTGTGGAAAAACAAGCAATCCCACGCAGCACAGGTGGAACTGCTCATTGGCACAACCACTTGAAAGGGCGGTTTACTAGAATCTCTCAAAATTAAAGTGCAAATACTATTTGGTCCATCAATTCCCCTTCTAGCAATTTTCTACAACTATACTTACACAGGTGCAAAGTGATAGGCTAAATGCAATGCAGAACCTAGGTTGGATCCTGGAACAGAAAAACACAACAGGTGACTCAAAGTCCAGAGTTTAGTTAATAGTAATATACTAAGGTTAATCTGTTAGTCTTAACAAAGGAATCGTGTTCTATAAGATGTTAACAATGGACAAAGCTTGGTGAGGGCTATTCAGGGGCTCTCAGTATTGTCTCTGAAATTTTCCTGAGAATCTAAAGTTATTTCAAAATATACTTTTAAAGATTTTATTCATTTTTATTTTTAGAGAGGGAAAGGGAGGGAGAAAGAGAGGGAGAGAAATATCAATGTGTGGTTGCCTTGGCACGCCCCCTACTGGGGATCTGGCCTGCAACCCAGGCATGTGCCCTGAGTGGGAATTGAACCAACGACCCTTTGATTCACAGGCCAGCGGCACTCAATCCACTGAGTCACAGCAGCCAGGGCTAGAATGTACTTTTTAAAAGGAGAGGAGGAAGAGGGCATTATTACCAGATTCTTGGTAATTGCCATAAAATTGGAAACAACCTCAATGTCAGCCAACTGGGGACTTTGAGTGTCCACCCATTCACATGGTAGAATACTATACAACTATTAAAAAGGCCAAAGCAGATCTTCTGCAAGACACATAATGTAAAAAGCAGGAAAGCAATAACCCAAGGGGGACTTTTATCCAAATATTTCTAGGAAACACTGGTCACAGCTGTGGCCTCTGGGGCAGGAACCAGGGGCCCGGGCATTGGTGGGAGAGGCAGCCTCATGTCTCTCTCTATATCTCTTTGTAATATTTGCATTTTTAAAATCATGAACATGTATTACCTTTAAAAAATTAAATTTTGTTTTGAAAACTTCTTAAGAGGCTGGTGTGTGAAGAAGAGTGGGAGCCCTTAGGACATTGATCCTTCCTCAGCCAGTCATGCTCCTTACCCCACCCCCCACCCGCCTGGGGCTTGGTGGTGCCTGATCAGGGCCTTTACCTGAGAGAGGCCTACCTGGATGGGGAACAGGAGGGACGCACCCTGCCGAAGGAAGCCGGGCTGAGGGGAGGAATAAGAGGGTCTGGCCTCTGTGTTCCACTGTGGGCCACCAGAGGACGCCCCAGCCTGCTGGCCATCTACCGCCTAGTAAGGGTACAGAGCTTGAGGTTAAGGGTGGGTCTGAGAAGCCCCCACCCTGGCGTAAATCCAGAAGTGGGCAGGAAATGGCTTCTCCCTCTGGAGGCAGCCAGAGCTGGAGGCCAGGAGACTGGCCTTTGTTTAATTAAGATTCCCCTCACCGTGTGAGGGTCCAAGAGCTGATCCACGTAAAGGGCTGGGCTCAGAGCTGTACCTAGGACCTAAAACATTATCGTTATTATCCACTTATTCTGCTGGCTCCATCCTGACCACACCTGCAGAACACCTGAAACTCGGTTCCGTGGGCGGACAGAAGTGGGGAGTCATGGCAGGTGTGTGAGCAGGAAAGGCACAGGCAGATCTGGTGTCAGAAAGAGTTGGGAAGGGAGAGAGGGCAGAGGGGATGCTAAACCCCTGGGGAGGCCCATAGGATTGGGGGTGATTTAGGGAGAACAGGCCCATGCCCTGGCTGGCCTGTTCTCCCTGTTCACCAAGGCTTGCCAGCTGCCCGAGGGAGCAAACAGCACTCCTTAGTGAGTCCTGCCTCCTGGACCCCGCCTGCATCCTACCCACCGCTCCAGGCCAGCCCCTGGCCTGACCTTGCTCTGTTCTGCCCCATCTCTCCACCTGTCTAATTACCACTCAAAGTCTCTCAGTCTCTGAGTCTCTCTTTATCTCTGCATCTCCGACCCTGTCCCCAGCACACCTTTCAAGTCCCTACCCTGGCCTGCTATCCAGAGTGACCCTGGAGCCTCCCTCCTGGCGAGAGACAGGAGTGGGGGGCTGACGTGAGAAGCCTCGGTGCAGCTGTGGGTGGAGAGCACCTGGGACAGCAGCAGGCTGGCCTCACTAACTCTCCAGTTCCAGGTAAGAAAGTGGGTCACCTTTTTTTCAGCCCAGAACATGGAGGCCCAGAGAAAACAGGCTGTTCCTCTCCAAAGGGCTCTCTTTACCTCTCTGTCACCTTCAAAAGCACAAAACCTAATCTCGCTTGAATTTGACCAAAAACCCAAAGACACTGGCATAAAATGTGGAGGGTTTTCTGAGCTTTGTTGAAATTTTTCTTCACCAGAAATATCACTTCCTCAAAGATTTTCCAGAGGTTTAAAAAAACAAACAAACCAAAAAAAAAAAAAACCCCTCATGTCACTGGGAGGACTTGAGTGTCTGTTTTCAGGTAGTGACAGAGTTGACTTCCTCGTGACAGTTTTCCCAGCTCTGCCCAAACAAATGAAACCAAACTGATTGTTTTTAATTTTTCAAAACTTTAAAGTTGAAGCCTAACTTTGGGATGAACTGAGGGAATTCAGAGGATAGGTTCATGCACAAAATTTCCTGCGAACATAACAAATTGTTTTCAGGAAAAAAACTGAATGCTTATCAGGGCCGATGCATTGGACCTCGTGCGAACCCAAGCACACCTCCTGCCTCTGGGGTTTTCTGGCCGGGGACACGGGCAGAATGTGTGTCAGAAAGTCTGTTTTTAGAGGTTTTAGACACTGCTGGCAGGGGTGACAATGGAAACAACTTTGTTGGAAGACAAATCGGGGACAGCTCTCAAAATGCAAAATGTGACTACTTCGGGAACCAGTGATTTAATTTGTGGGGCTTTGCTATCGAATCTTATTTTGTTCATTGGAACAAAAATTTAGGGAAAAAATAGAAATGGTCTAAATGTTCATTGATAATTATTATGGTATTGTATGTAGCGAAAACCTGAACAGGAAGCAAAAGGAATAAACAGATCCCAAAGACGTAATGTTGAGCAAATAGAGAAATTTACATCATTAGTTTTTCCACGAAAAGAAAATCTAGCCCTGGCTGGTGTAGCTCAGTGGATTGAGTGCCGGCCTGCAAATCAAAGGGTCACTGGTTCAATTCCCACTCCAGGCACATGCCTGGGTTGCGAGCCAGGTTCCCCGTAGGGGGCATGTGAGAGGCAACCACACACTGATGTTTCTCTCCCTCTCTTTCTCCCTCCTTCCCCCTCTCTAAAAATAAATAAATAAAATCTTTATTAAAAAAGAAAACCTAGCTGAGATTAGCTTTATATTTCACTACATTGTGTTGGAATTTGGGTTTTTCTCGCTATTTCTGGGCTATATGGTTCTTTCCAAGCTACACTGTAGTAATTTGAGAGTTTAAAAAAAAAGATTTTATTTCTTTATTTTTAGAGAGCAGGGAAGGGAGGAAGAAAGAGAAGGAGAGAAACATCAGTGTGTGATTGCCTCTCACACGCCCCCACCAGGAACCTGGCCTGCAGCCCAGGCATGTGTCCTGACTGGGAATCAAACTGATGACCCTTTGGTTCACAGCCTGCACTCAATCCACTGAGGTATACCAACCAGGGCTTAAATATTTTATTTACTTATCTCTAGAGAGAGGGGAAGGGAGAGAGAAGGAAAGGGAGAGAAATATCAGTTTGTGGTTGCCTCTCGTGTGCCCCTAACTGGAGACCTGACCTGCAACCCAGGCCTGCTACCCAGGGATGTGCCCTGACTGGGGATCAAACCAGCAACCCCTCGATCCACAGGCCGGCACTCAATCCACTGAGCCACAGCAGCCAGGATGCAATTTGAGAGTTTTAAGCATTGCCTTCTGCTCGAAAACTTTGGAGGATCTAAGAGTGTCTAGACTTCCAATGGACTCACAGATGAAGCTTAACCCAACTCAACTACAGAGCCTTCTCAGATGCCCAGGGAAGAAGATTCAACTGCCTCTCAGCCTGTCTCAGAAGGTCTAGCAAAGAACCTTAGTAGCTTGACTCAACCCCAGTACCAAATCCCCTTCCCTTCCACCAGAATATTCACCCCAACAGCAGGACAGAGAAAGGAACTTACAGTGGCTGGGACTGGGGCTGGGTCAGAGCCCACTGCAGGAGGAAGCGCAGAGTAA